GGTTTATAGACCTCTCACCATACCATTTATTGGGGCTTCGACGAAAGTGAGTAAGATGAAACAATATTGTTAAATAAATAAATGCTTGCACACATAATACATCTAAACGATTTTGTATACAGGGTGTATGGCACGTTTCTATGAGCACATTCAGGCGGTGCCAGCGGCTAAGTTCAGCCACTCAGCAGGGACTTAATTCTCGAAAAAGGGGCAGCGTTCTCATGAGAACGAAGGTTCTGTCTTCGTCGTCCGTATTCATATTTACATAACACTGACAATGACAAAGCAATCGTTCGCACGAGAACGCTGTTTCTCGGTTTCGAGAATAAAGTCCGTGCTGAGTGGCTGAGCTTAGCCGCTGGCACCGCCTGAATGTACCGTATTTAAATTTTTTTGGTCTAATCATTTCTGGAATACTTACCAGTTAGATGCATATGTATAAAAAACTTGAATATTTGGCTTTCCCAGAATATATTCTTGATAAAATGTTCTGCTTTATAAGAAAATATTGCTAAGTTATCACACAAAATGCCACTTAAGTAAAGTAATATCAAAGTCCTCTGAAGCCATTTTGCAAGGGAGCTACCACCAGTTGATCAATACTCAAATGACCGGGATATATTCTAGAACCATCCGGAATAAAAATGTTTTTTCTTACTAATACGTCAACTCTGGCTTTCAAAGAAATACGCTGGAAGAAGGACGGTTCTCAGAGACTATGTATCGACTATAGAAAACTAAATGACGTTAGTGAGCGTGATAGCTATCCTCTGCCCCAAGTCAGCGATACACTTGACAAGCTCAGGGATGCGAAATACTTGTCGTGCCTCGACATTAAGTATGCTTATTGGCAGGTGCCTGTAGTAGACTGCAGAGGCGCCCAGACCTTATACCGCGTTCACGGTGCCAAATCGTGGACTCTTTCAATTCAAGAGGTTACCTTTCGGACTTCACAATGCGCCAGCTACTTGGCAAAAACTTATCGACAATGTTCTGGGAGCGGATTTAGAGCCACACGTCTTTGTGTATTTGGATGATATTGTCGTGGTGGCGCAAGATTTTGAGACGCATTTGAAAGTTTCCTCCTGATTAAAAAGTACCTTGAAAACAGTTGGATCTAAAATACTTTGATAGCACGTGAAACATATTCGAGAGTTATCATTCGGGTCCTCGTCCAGAAGTTGCAGTTTTTGCCTTCGATTAACCGCTGTGTTTCTAAGCTCCTCATTTTTGACAAAAGGAATTACTTGTCGAGGAGTATTGACAGATTCACAAACATAACAATTAAATCGGAAACGAAATGTCATTTCAAAGACCGTTAAGAGCACTTATTTTAATATAATTATATTATTATAATAATGGTATATCCGTTGAAATAAATAAATAAAAATAAATAATTCAACAAAGAAGAAATAATTATTCGAATGCACAAAATATCAGAAACCGTCAATATTCTCTGACTGTTGCCATCATCACTTAGCAACCAAATAATCGAATAAAGTATTTGACAGAATGGCTGACTGGAATAAAGCAAAAGTTTTTTTTTTATAAAGCAGAACATTTTAACAAGAATATTTTGTGAGAAATGCCAAATAATAAAGTTTTTCATATGCAGCAAATTTTCAAGTGTAGACACCCTGTATTTGGAAAAGTTAAATATAGCTGAAAACTGCAAAGATCTTTCGAATATTCGTAATTTTGTATTTTGTATAAATAGAAATGAAAAAATATTTTAAAATTATTAAGCACAATAAATCGTTTATAAGTACCTACCTATTACGAAAATGATTGAACCAAAAAAATTGAAATAAAAACGTGCGATAGACCCTGTATACAAAATCGTTTAAATGTATTATGTGTGCAAGCATTTATTTATGTGAAAGTATTGTTTCGTCTTAATCATTTCTGCAACTACCCAAAAAATAGTTTGGTTAGCACATAATTTAAATCGACTAGTCAACTTTTTAAACACCCTGTATCGCAGAAACTAATCATAGGATTCATTTGTGCCCATGGACACATTTGATCAGGACCTCAAGAAGAACAACATACCAAAATTTCATCAAAGGACCCCGCAATATTTAAATGGAAATTGGTTACCCGTGATATTTGGATGAAATTTAAATATGTTATTGGGGATGCCGTAAGCAACATTTTTTACCATGGGCACAACCCTGTATATATGACAGGTGAGGCGTGGCTCGCTGTCAAATATTGGAATCTGATATCCAAAAGCAGAGTAACTATGGCAGATTTTGATGAACAAAAAATCTATTTACACTAAGTCAACCAAGTTAAGTCAAAAAATGTCAACCGTTTTAACACCTGTCAAAACCCTGCCCAACGGCAGCACTCATCTTTTCCAGTTTTCAATATTTTATGGCTTATATGTAAATTCTGAATTCATAAATTGAAAAAAAAATTACAGCTGTCAAAATGTGACATGCATGAACTTTGTTCAATGTTTTATCACCAATAAACTACCTTAAAACGAGAAAAGACCAGATTAGAGTATTTTTTTCAACTAAAGCAAATGACAGGTTTTGACAGTTCTGTCATTTTTTTTTCAATTTTTGAATTTAGAATTTACATATAAGTTAAAAATGTCAAAAGACAACATAAAATATTGAAAACTGGAAAAGATGAGTGCTGCCGTTTGGCAGGGTTTTGACAGGTGTTAAAATGGTTGACATTTATTGACTTAACTTGGTCGACTTAGTAGAAATAGATTTTTTGTTCAGCAAAATCTGCCATAGTTACTCTGCTTTTGGATATCAGATTCCAATATTTGACAGCTAGCCACGCCTCACCTGTCATATATACAGGGTTGTGCCCATGATAAAAAATGTAGCTTACAGCATCCCCAATAACATATTTAAATTTCATCCAAATATCACGGGTAACCAATTTAAATTTAAATATTGCGGGGTCCTTTGACCGGGCACCAAAATCCCATAAGATGTGAGTGATGTGAGATGATCTATAAAAAAAGGCACTCAGAAAAATTGAAAAATTGATAAATGACCCCAAATTGCTTAACACGATTTTATCTCAGGAACTATAAGTTCAAATGAGTTAAAATTTTCAGGGATTGCAGTCCTCTACTGGAATAAGAATGGCTGAAAATTTTAGTTATGACCTTTCAAAGTTTTTCAAAATCTAAATTATAAGGTAGCTACCTCAGTGCTAAAACGATGAGGCTCATTATGTATTTAAACAGAGCCGATGGTTACCCAAAGTTTTTCCGAAACTTTTTTTTAATTAATTCCGGAGAAGAATGCATTGTTTTGCGTACTAATTATAGGGTAAGCAAACAGGTCATTAATTTCCCCTTTCTGAAGGATCCCATCATAGCTGAATATTAAATAGTTGTTAATAGATCTTGACCGAATTTTCTTTTGCCTTCATTAGGCTACATTTATTCAATATTCTCCCCACAGCCTAAAATAAGCTTGAAAAATCTTTATTCCTAAATGATAATTAAATACAAAAAAAAATTGCCCTTAATACATGCAATAAAAAATGAATAAGTGCCTATCGTATCCTCAAAAATTAATAATTCAAACTGTAGCTAATTATTTCGTGGTTTTGGATAACACAAGTTAGATTGGTACTGTTTCCGTAATTGAAAACTAAATTATTGAATTTAGAGTGCATCGCTCTGACAATCGTTGTAACCTAATAACCTCTAGCATTTCGAAATTCAGGTCAGAGCCGGATGAATTTTGTTCGTTTGACCTAAAAAAAAAAAAAATTTAGGTGCTTCTTTGGAATTTTGACTCTAAGTTTTCTCAAAGTTCCTGGCTCGTTGCGGAAAACTGACTGTGTGAATTTTTAATTTTTTTTTGGCCTCACACTTTCGTTTATGAAAAGAGAATATTATCTTTGTGTTTGGATATTTCAATTTGGAATCGTTCCTAGATAGAAACTCTATTTGTAGCTCCAATACTATGGATTGAAATATAAAATTTGATTCACTCTTTAATCAATAATATGTTTTGATGTTCAATTTGTTCAAACATCTTCAAAGAAAAGTACATCGAGATAAGAAGAGATCTCTCTCCGTGACCCATTTCCGAAATGTTATAGGTTACGAGGTAACGTAGCGGAGCATTGCACCCAATAAAGCAAAGATCCAACTACATATTTAGAATTTAAAAATATATACAGTTTTTTTTTGTAGCAACACTTATTCAAAGTGTACGGTTCACGGATGCGGAAAATACGAAGTAGAAAAAAAAATGAGTGCTTCAGAGGGTGACAGAAAAATGGGTCAAGTGTATTTTCTCCTGTATGTCGTAAAAATGCCTTCGTTTATCTTGTGACAGCCCGTTCCCTATTGAAAATTTGCTTTTAAGTGTCAGCATTGCGACCCCTCTTTTAAAGGGTGATGATGTTGTGACAGCCGGATAAGAAAATTGAATCCCGGTTACATATCTTTGATGCTGCGATCTCTACAACGACATTGTATTTTTATTGAGATTGAGTTTTTTGCTGGTTTAAACGTCCAGCAAAAAGAGGAATCAGTGGAATAATTCCTCCTAATTTCGGTACTGGGATAATTCGAGGCACTTTAATCTTCTGTAACTTTACTTGATAACATGAAATTTTTAAATAATTGGACTACCTATTCCGTGACTTTCCACTGTAAGAGAAAAAAAAAACTTCAATGCCCTTTTCCCTTACGTAACTACTATTCTAAATGAAGCTTGAAAATTATACGAAGGTAATTTTTACATGTCCCCTAGGATAAGTTTCGTAATGCCTGTGGTAATACTTAGCTCAATTTTAATGCTAAAAAATTGCATTATGCATTATAAAAATTGCATTTTTAATGATCAATGACGTTTAACTTTTTGTACTTTTAATGGAAAAATGGAATATAACCAAAGTTCACAAAGATTTTTACACAATTCAGTTGCTTCTCCAAGAGTAATAATTCAAACTTCTCTGAGTAAGTAGATACAAATTAATAACCAACATCTCTATTTATTTTTTAGATAAAGTGAAAAAGAAGTACGGCAACCTGGGCAACAGCATCCTAATGGTGCAACTGGAACGGAGCGCCAGCGGATTGGGGCTGAGCCTTGCGGGGCACCGCGATCGCAGTTGCATGGCCGTTTTCGTTTGCGGCCTGAATCCGACCGGAGCGGCCTACAAAACCGGCTCTATACAAATCGGAGACGAAATCCTAGAGGTGAGTAATTCTGAGATTAATTCTAACTGTTTTGTATTATTGAATATTATAGTATCTTCATCTAGAATTCCTCTAAAATCACTTCTTATTGGATCTAATATTATTTTGTACTGTTTTAATGGAACTCAATATTCCTATATGACTGTTTCTGTTCAGGCCAAGGACGTATACAGTGTGTCCCGCTTAAGGACTGACCACCCTTCTAAAATTTTTATTTTTCGACCGATTCAATTCATCTTTTTTTTCGTCTTATATCTACTCGAAGTTGGCACTTATTTGGCTCATAATTTTATTTCTGCAGCTGTACTGGTGTACAGAGTGTCCACATTTATAGGCTCAAATTTCAATAAGTACTACTATTAGGGATTTTTTTAGAAAAAATTTGTGAAACGTCTACTTTATTATTAAAGTAAATCGTATCTTTCTCGACCTGAAATTCTCTAGGGGAAAGAGAACGTCAGAGAAACGAGAAACCCTCGGTCTAACATTCCTCAAAAATCGAAATATACTGTGTCATTTTAAATAATAATTGTCAGTCAATAATTTAAGTCAATAAAAGTTTAAATTAGGTACCATCCTTGTTCTTGTGCTAAAATTTCAATTACACACACTAGATTCAATCAACAATACCTATATTCAATACTGAAGAGTTTTTTTTATTAGTTAGCCAGTTTCCCAGCGGATACTGAGGTCCCATACGGGAAGCTACTCAGCTATAGTTGTTTCTGAGCCAATATCTCTAGATTGATTATTTTAATTTGTTCGGATATTCTTTCGTCATCAGGGTAGGAAAATGTTAGTAAATTCAACAAGGCCCTAATACACACTCTAAATCATCAAAATCAAAATCTCAGCACAAAAAGACAGCACATAATTTTTTAGGTTTTAATTTACTTCTTTATCTGTGTTGTTTACAGTATGAAACGATTTTTGTTGAATACATGAACAAAGCACAGGTTATAAAAAATGTTATAAACAAACAAAAAATACATAAAAATGAACAAAATAATAGGAACTTGCATAAATTGAACTCTCAAAAACAAAATAATAATTAATCCACTAACCTGTGAACGCTCCTTACACACACACTAATAACAAATTGGATTGAACAATTAATTTTAATGCAAAATAGAAATGAAAATTGAATAATTACAGACACGCGTCTAAAGGAACCTGTCCCAGCTTGTTCTCAAGTCTCTCTAATGCCTAATCGCCTCTTCTCTTGTATCCTCTTCGGTTTCGGTACCTTCATTTTCTGTGGCGCTCCCCGTTCAAACCTAAATTTGATGGCGCAGACATGGTTGCAACATTTTACTTTTATTCAGTAAACGTTTTTAAAAAAAATTAAGATTTGAAGAAATAATATTTTAAATAGGTGGTTTTCCTCAATATTCTAGTCTATATATTTCGGGCACGTAGAATAATAAAAAAATAGTTTCGGAACGCTGTGACCTTTGAATGACCTTGAAAATCGTGATTTTTATAAAATGGCATTCATTATTAGTATTTTAGTAAGTACTAATTTCTTATTTTCAAATATACTGTGATAATATTATAAACGATTGTGAATACACATAATAAAAATAATACTCTTAAGTTTAAGCTGACCTCGATCACCTTGAAGCCCCCACTTTTTTTTAAATGGCGTCCAAAATTTCACTTTCAGATAATAATATTATATTGGTGTGACTAAACTTGATCACCTTTTTACATTATAAGGTACCCTTAGGTTGAAATGACCTTTAAAATCTTGATGCATATTACTTTATAACTAAAGTTTTCAAAAATTGCCAACCGTGCCTCATCTTGATACTCTATGAACGATAAAAACCGCAAGAAGCGTCCTAAAGTGTCATAATGTATTCGCTTGAATAACACCGCTATTATAGACATCTTATTATTCTTATTCGCAAAAAAAAATACCTCATACTCTCTGCGAATTATGGTATTTACTTGGAACGGGAAATGTTGGACGTGATTGGTGCATTGCACTATGTGGCTTTCACGCCTACACAGGTAGTGAGACGGTTTTTTTTTTTGCAAACAGTAGCAAAAACAGGTATAGATGGCCTGGAGGGGGGAATAGATCACCACAGCATTCGAATATTTGAGCAGTAGAATTAAGTAGCTGCTATATTTTTCCTGCTGACGTTTTAAAAGGCATGGAACATGGAAAGATTCTCTGTACCTATGGTCGACATAAACGATAAACAGTGAATTTTTTAGTGTTAACGAGACTGAGATTGTTTTTTCTGCTCTGGAGAGCGACCACTCAGTTCAACTCCTCTGTTCCAAGGAAGAATTATTGAACAATACAAAAGGGCAGCTTATCAAGCTGGACAAATATGAGGCAGGCCGCTTTCTATAGAAAAAAGGATTCCATCTCCTGAAAACTGGAGCTGGACCTTGATGAGCAACAATAAATGGACAGGATGTGATATTATAAGGTGTTCCTATCACCTCAGTCTACCTTGCACTCCTGCTTGTGGTACTTGCAAAGGAGGTTGTGAAAACAGAAAGGCTTGATTTATTTAAGATAACCACTTTAAATTAATAGGAAACTTGACCATTTTTTTCTAAAGTATTTGAATTGATTTCTCAAAATGTTCGGAACTGATTTGTGCAAACCAAATTTGAATATCTTCAAAATTAACAAAGTTAAATCAGTAAAAAGGCTAATACTATGTGACGTCATTCCTTAGTATCGTAATAAGTCAATGCGACTAAGACAAAGACAAGGACATCATTTTTAAAAATTCATGAAGATTGTATTTTTGAATGGATTTGAAAAATTTGGCGAAAATGTCTTTAACATTTGTATAAAGTGACCAGATATTGATATTCCTAAAGCGGGATAATATAATATTGTGGGTAGGTACTTATTTCACAATATTATTCGATGGGATGTTATTTTCATCGAAATAATGAAAAATTTCTACCCATTTAAGTAAGATCTTTGGGACTTTTTTGCTCAGTCCAAAAAATAAGCTCAAGCTCACTTTCAGAAATATAATATTATAAGGTCTGTTCCAACACCTAAAAACCGTTCCATGAATGGTTTAGAAACCACTCTATATACGAGTTTCAGATTCTACGCACAAATTTCAAGCTTTGCGCAGAATCATGATGGTACGTTGTACGGTTTCCTGCTGTGTTGGAACAAAGCTATAATTACCAAAAAGTCTTAACAAAAAAAATATTTTCAATTATGGTGCATTTAGGTATTTTTTTTAAAAGAAACTCAAAACTTTTTTGTACTTGTTCCCAGGTAGGAGCTATTTTTAAAGAAATCCAAGAAAAATTCGATATGCACTCATATTGAGTGCTGTACTGGTTTAAATATTCTAAAACAATTAGCGTAAAAACTTTGAAAATGATTACTAAAAAATTGATAGTTGGAATTTATTGAAAGCGGGACGCTTATCAAATCGGGACTTGTAGCTTGAAATCGGGACTGTCCTGCCTAAATCGGGATGGATGGTCACTTTTCATTTGTACCTTTCATTCATTTGATTGAGGGCCGGTTTCTTCATCTTCAGATAAAATTGTTGGTAACCATCTGCAAAATAAATTTACCGTTCTAATGGCCGTTTCCACCAAAATTTTAGGGGAGCCCTAACGATAAGTATTCCCTAAAATGACATTTTTACATGGAGAAATGTCAGTTTAGGGAATACTTATCGTTAAGGCCCCCTAAAATAGTTGGTGGAAACGACCATAAGATCCTATTAGTCGGCGGATAACTGGCCGACCAATGGGATTACAGATTGCGATTTTATCCGTTAGATTGCATGCTTGATAGTTTATTAGAAGGTGAATAATCCGGCGCTAAATGTAGGTAATGATTGTTTTTTCATGCAAGTTCCCTATTCAGTATTCACTGCAATAAGTTTTGTATATGGATACAAATTTTGTATGAATACATTTTTTGAAATCCTTATCCTCAAATTATTTATAACAAAATATACTTATTGATATTTTTCAAGGTGAATTGACGTCATATCGGTCTAAAACTATATTTTTTGAAATGTTCTTCCTTTATATACAATAAACTATAATCATGCCTGCAATGCTAAGACAAACATATTAACTTTGAAACTTTGACAGCTATTAATTGACTTTTTTGAGGTCATCTAAAGGTCGCAGCGATCTAAAACTATTTTTTTATTATTCTGCGTTCCCGAAATACGTAAACTAGAGTATATTCATGCTTGTCTACCCAGAATAAAAATTGAAATTAAAAAATTGACCGCCATTTTGAAAAAAATGGCGATTTTTTTAGTACCAATGAGAAAAGTCGATGGGTCCTCGACTCAAATCGATTAAAATGGTCTACTTAGCAACTGTGCCAAATGTCATGCTTGTATCATCAAATGGCGTTTTTTTTCGCTAAGCAACCGTACTATTGTCAGAAATGTGAAATATTTCATGCTTTCAGCTTTTTTCTAATGGGATGCGCTATACAGGGTGTCCCACGGTGAATGGCGTATTAGACGTTTATGGAGAACTAAAAAGCGGATCATTTTGAAAATTTGGCAACCGGGATAAACGACCATGATCTACACTTTAAAAATATTTTTGACCATGCGGTGTTGCCGCTTCTACTCTAAACTAGTGGCAACATCACTATTTCAAATGGAACACCCCGTATTAAATTGCATATTTGGATTCTACGTGAAATTCTAAGCAGATTTCATGTGATATACCCTATATCTAAGTTCAACTGTTTTGGAAATATTGACAGTTGAAAATTGACTTTTTGCAACTTTGACAGGCTGTAGAACCTGAACGGTTAATTTTAGAGGAAAACCGATTTCACATTCCTATCTTAGATTTTTATAAACTATCATTTGACACCAACTTAGAATTAAATCCATGATTAAAAATTTCAGTTAAATTTAATCTCCGGTTAAGTTCAAAGTTGGTGTCAAATGATAGTTTATCAAAATCTAAGATAGGAATGTGAAATCGGTTTTCCTCTGAAATTAACCAATTAGGTTTTACAGCCTGTCAAAGTTGCAAAAAGTCAATTTTCAACTGTCAATATTTCCAAAACAGTTGAACTTAGGTATATCCAATGAACTAGAGCTAAAAACTGGAATGCGCACACAGTGCCATATCTGCCAAAAAAATGAAGCCATGAAAGACAGATGCCACAACGGGGAATGTTGTCTTTTTCTGTTGCTCGCTGACATATGACGTTTTCGAAAGTTTTGTCATATTTTCCTTCACAGGTTTCATCAATTGGAATACGTGTTGGAAGCAATTTTCGCCATTTAACATAATGAGTGCGACAAAAACAGGTATCCCCTCCGCAGCAGCCGCACTAGGCTTCACGTTCGTCCTTATGTGTTAGCATTCCAGTTTTTGGTTATAGTTCATTGGGTATATCACATGAAATCTGCTCAGAATTTTACGTAGAATCCAAATATGCATTTTAATACGGGGTGTTCTATTTTAAATAGTGATGTTGCCACAAGTTTGGAGTAGAAGCGGCAACACCGCATGGTCAAAAATATTTTTAAAGTGTAGATCATGGTCGTTTATCCCGGTTGCCAAATTTTCAAAATGATTCGCTTTTTAGTTCTCCATAAACGTCTAATACGCCATCCACCGTGGGACACCCTGTATGTATTTGGTTCTATGTATATTATTGAAGAACACAATTTCACGATTCCAAAACTATATAGTTTGTCTAAATTTGGTTGAGCCGTCTCCAACATATTTGGTTCTAAAAATTTTAAAAATATCCACTATCAGAGTAACCAAGTATCTCAAATTTTACCTGCAGCTTTCACATGTAAAGGTAGAATGGTTCACAAAATCAGTAGTAGGATAATATTTTTACAATTTTTGGAGCCAAATATATGAGAGATTGCTCAATCAAATAAAGATCTAGGCATTGTGCTCTTCAAGAATATAGAATGAAATATAGGGCATCCCATTTAAAAAAAGCTGGAAGCATGCAAAATTTCACATTTCTGACATTCAATTTTCTTTCTGACCATGGTTTCTAAGAATTCTGCCAAAACTGTACAACTTTTGTATTTACACCTCACTTTTACCTGTGAAGGTAAAGGCTGTAGGTGGGGTATCAATACATAAAAAACACTCTGTACAAATAAGTGGATTATTGCGGAACTTATGGGTGGACCGCAGCCATCTACTCACCAATATACTGTTGAACTGTTCAAATAAGACACTCACCTGGAACGTGTAGTTTTTGAATTAAAGAGAATTTCTCAACTGAGTGAATCTAGTATTGTACTTGAACAACATATTGATGAATAGATGGCTGCGGAACTCGCTGCGCTCATCCCGCAGAGGTCTACCCATAAGTTCCTCAACAATCCACTCATTTGTACCTGAATAACTTGTCACAATATATTACTAGTTTGGTGAAGTACTGATTCCTGTTGAAAGGCAAATTGATAAAAAGTGGATTATCTTACAAATTCTGACTTCATATAATAAGTTATTGTTCAAGTACAAATAAGTAGATTGTTGCGGAACTTATGGGTGGACCTCTGCGGGACGAGCGCAGCGAGTTCCGCAGCCATCTAATTACCCATATAGTGTTGAACTGTTCAAGTAAGACATTCACCTGAAATGTGTAATTTTTAAACTAATGAGAATAACGAATATTTGAGTGAATCAGTTAAGTATCATAATTGAACAACATATTCGTGTGTCGATTTTTAACTGACAGTTTCCGTATGAGGAGCGAGGGGGTGTTTCATATGGCAAAAACAGGTGTGACGTCAGGTAACCATTGGCGTTTTGATGTATGTGTATGGAGCCACCCAGCTCACATTCCGTCCGAGTATCAGATTAAAATCGATGGACAATATTGATGAATAGATGGCTGCGGAACTCGCTGCGCTCGTCCTGCAGAAGTCCACCCATAAGTTCCGCAACAATTCACTCATTTGTACTTGAATAACTTGTCACATTATGTTACTAGTTTGGTGAAGTAACATTACTAATTCCTGTTGAAAGAAAAAATTAAAAACCTACCTATTTAAAATCCCCTTATTCTCCTAAATAGTTCTCCCATTCCCATATTTTTATGGGCCATTCCGTCGAAAAACCGTATCTTGCACAATGCGCTGCCAAAACTAACCCAAACTAACCCAATCTTAAACCAGAGATAGGTTTAGACCGGGTTTTTTGGAAAAAAAAAACCTAAAAACGCTTTGGAAAGAACCGGTTTTTTCGAATAACCGTATTTCAAAAAACCGAGTTCATTGAAACAACCCCGGTTTATTCAAATGTTGAGTTTAAACCCTGATTTTTCTTAAAAAACCCAATAAACCCAAGTTTTTTATTATTTTTAAATAAACTGGAATAAAAAAAAAACAAAAAAATAAACTCGATACAAACGAAAACAAAACCTTAAACTAAAAATATCGAATATTCTGCCAGTTAACTTATAATAAATGAAAACTTGAGTATTAATTATTAATTATAAAATATTATTCATTATTTATAAATTCGATACTCTATTGTCATCCACCAATCCCTCAAATAATTCCAATTGGAAATCAGTATTTTCATTTTCACTATTTTCATTGGCATTTTCTTCACAGTTGACTTCAGTATCTTTTTATTCTTCTACAGTTGACTCATACTCAGACTCAGACTCATTTTCACAATCTTCATCGATGCTAATTGCATTTACCAAATCTATATTCTCTTGCTCCGACAACTCTAAATCTTCTATCACTGTTTTCAAATTATAGTTGATGAATGCTAATTTTTCTGTTTTTTCGTTTGTCAGTCTATTATATTATAGAGAACTTGTTTTACGCCACCATGTATAAGGCTTTTTTTTTCCTAAAATACCCAAAAAATCTATTTTTTTAAAAAAAAAAACCCAAAAAAACAAAAAGGGCTTAAACCTATCACCGAAAAAACCCGGGTGGGTTCAAACCCAAACCGGTTTTTTGGTTTTAAACTTAACTTCTTAAACTGCCCCTCCCCCCCCCTTTCAAAAGGCCTGTATCCGCCCCTGTAAGAATCACTGAAAATTTCAGCTTCAATCGATTATAGAAGAAAAGTTATGACCTCTCAAAGTTTTTCAAAATCTAAATGATAAGGTTGCTACCTTAGTATAGTTTCAACTTTCAACTGAGATGAAAACCGTTCCAGAACTAGTAATAATGCCTTCTAGACGTCTTTTTTTTGGACTTCAGACGTAATGCAGACCTATAAAGGACGTCTTTAGGACTTTGTGTGCTGTCTGGAAAAAAGTTTGTAGAAATTCTTTATGTGTGTATGTAAATATACGATTGAGAAGCTATTGAAAGTGTTAAGTCACTCTGTAAGGTGGTTTGATTTATCGTACCCAGTCATTAAAAAATAAACTATAGCTGATGCGCTCCTCTGTAAGGTCATTCGGTCAATGACCCACCAAAAAATCAAACAATAAATTTTCAATCAAACATCTTGAATATTACGTTTTAAATTAACCAACATCACGCTCAACAGAATACAGAAATCGAATTATTTTGAGCATATATTGGGTACCCGGCTTTTAAAATTACAAAATACAGGCCTAGCTACGCTCGGCCATATTCAAAATTGGGCTTATAGCTTTGAAATGATCATAGGCGAATGCAATAGGAATCAGAGAGAGAGAAACATAACGGGCGTAAATGAGTAAGATAAAGAGGCACATTTGCTTCCATATGTTCCATCACGTTGACGGCCGGCAACGGCGCCAGATCCTCGATCGATCGATATAGGTATTTATCGGAATGGAACAAGAGCGCTCAGAATTCGACGATTTTATTGTATATCTTTAATTTCCAGTGGGGGATTGACTTTTGGAATTAAAGAAAAGTGGTCGTCCAAAAGCAAAGCTTGATTTATGCCAAACCACGAAAGAGTCCATAGAGCCAAAAAATCCCATGTTAGGTGTGCGTTATCCTTTCAAAATGACCATAAATGAACGCGAAATTCAAATATTCAAATTTAAATTCCTACTAAAGCCAAAAAATTTAGTTTACTACCAAAAGTTTTTCGCCTAAGGCGCTATTTTAGCCTGCGGCGCTGTCTCTCTTAATTTGACCCACCTGTAAAAAAACTCACGAGCCGCGCCTGAGCTGGATGTAATACAGATCATCGCTAAAGGGTTTAGATTTCGTAGTACCAATATAATATAAGAATAGGTTACCCTGTATAAACAAAAGTTGAACCCAAAATAAGTTTGGACCATTTTTCAACAAAATGTTTACACGAACATATCAAAAATTTTTAAATATTTAAAAGTAAAAATTCGTGGGCGAATTTAAACTAAACCGAAATTATTTTTAGCCTCATCCAACATCCAACTATAGTGCATTCGATTTTGCGATCTCTTTAACACACGAGCTTGTGCAACTGATAAAACCTAAATGTTTCTAAGTATTTACTTTTATTTATTATTTCCGTGTGTTGTAATCGCCCGGTACTTCGCCGCGCGAACCGATTCAGTCAGTCTGTAGTACCGAGTCGCGCCGAGTCGTACCTGTTATTGTTTGTTTTTTACCTGGGACGATTTATGATGAGATTGTGTAAAATATGACTTTATGAATTTCCTCCTCAGTTGTGTGAAAGAAAGGTCAGTATTAAGTTTTTTCGTTTTCTTAATTCTAGGTCAACGGTGTCGTACTTCACGGACGGTGTCATCTAAATGCTTCGGCGATCATTAAAGGTTTATCAGGACCAGTTTTTAAAGTCATTATTTTAAGGTAATGTATTTTTACTTTATAGGTTAAAGATTGCCGTTTATTTATTATTAATATTAATGGATGTTTCTAATATTTATTATTAACACTTTGCTGATAATGTAATTGTAGCTATAATTGAATATAATAATCACTATTTTTAAATTTGCAAACTATGATAATGTTCCTTATCATAGGTATTATTACATTGTAAAAGCTAGATTAGTGATTAATAGATTAAAATGTTTGATTTTCTTGAATAATGGATTATATACGCTCATCAAATCTAGATGAAATAATTTATCCATTTAAATTATATATTTTGCAAAAAATTAATAGAAAAATTATCAACTTTAGCAGCAATTTTAAAGTTATTGCAACCCTGTAATTACAACATTTATACTTTGGCAACAATGCATTATAGCTGTTCGGTTTTACGTTTCTACTTTGGCAACACTGTAATAACAAAGTTTTTACTTAGGCAACAGTGCATTATGGCCGTCAAGTGTCAAGTTTTTTGTTTTTGTTTACATTATTTTCTTTGAATTTTCATAAACAATGTATTTTAATAATTAATTTAAATTTTTACTTGTAATTTTCCCTAGTAGTTGTTTTTTTATGGATAATTTATTCCACATCTATTGATTGACAAATTAATGCTTTTATTGCCATCTATAAACTGTTTGTTGTGGTTGTTCCGGTACTGTACTTTATGTATAGATTATTTGATTATTTTCTAATTTTATTTCTCTTTTTTTTTTTAGGCGAAAAGCTGCTATCGATGATATTGCAGTCAAACCTATCACTCAGTTTCCAGTTTCACTGGCAGAAGAGGTAAGATTTGTTCACTTAAAAAATCATCCATTATTACAATGTTTAGCTGCTTATAAATAAACCAAACTTCATCTTGGAATTTGGGGACTGGGGAACAATTTCACTATATTCAGAAAGTTCTGTTTTTGCATTGTTGCAAAATTTCTTGTTATCAGGGATTTGTTAGCTTCTCAGATTGATATTCAAACATTAAAAAACTACTACACCAAAAAATAGGTTTTGATAGAAACCATACAGTAAGGGGCAGGCTACTAGGTATACAGTAAGGGGCAGGCTACTAGGTATATAGAATCCAACTTGACGAATTTACGATCGTCCGCAGCCGTTTGAACACCTGTCGCTGTCGGTTCGTTGTCGTTTTTTCGATGACTTTGACGTTCGTTGAGTTTGTTCACAAGCCAGGTTCACATCAGTACGTTTTATGATTTTACAGACTTAAGCCCCGTCCAGACGCTACGTTACTGATTACTGATCACGTGTTGAACTGTGCAAACAAAACGTTATGCAAAACTTAGCATCTGGACCGTGCTTTTAGATGTATCAATTCGTCGAGCTTCACCTACTTATAATTAAAATTAAGCGTGTAGATAGGTTTTTTTTCGAACCGAAACAATAATTTTTCATATTCTAAGAAAAGAAAACATGTATTTTAAAAAAGCCATCAAGGAAAAACTAAAAATGTATTCAACATAAAAAATAGAAGAAAAATTAGGTAAAATAAAAACAAAAGTTCTAAACAGATGATATTATGTAGCAAATGTTCAAACAGTTCACCTTCTTGAGATAAACAATGACCTAAACAATCATAGAAGGCTCTACGAACATTATTCAAAATCACATGGGTGACAGTTACTTATATTTCTCGAATTTTGAAACGCTGCTGCTCAAGGTTCACGGCGCGATCCTCCTGACCACCATACGTTTTTGATTTGCAATAACCCCAGAAAAAATAATCGTTGATGGGTGCAAGATCGGGAGAGCGGGCTCGCCACATCAGTATTGTAGCTCTCGACCCAGTAATGAGACGGTTTGGAAAAGTATTATTCAAATGGTCTAGAATGTAACCCGTGTTTTGGGCTGGACATCCATCTTGTTGAAACCATATTTCATAAATTCTAGGACCAGATAATCTTCTTATTTCTGGAATTATCTGCCGTTGCGAAAAATCCAAATATACCAGTTAAGTTAGCGTCAATGGAGACAATGGAGTACGGCCCAATAATATGTTCTCCATACAAACCGCTCTAGACAGTTACCTTTTGAGGATGCTGGGCTCTAAGTTCAAAATACCTGTGTAAATTCTCCGTAGACCTTAGACCAATAACGGGTGTGACTAGGATTATGTCGACAAAAGAGTTGAAATGTCGTTTTATCTGTGAAGACAATTCTTCTAAGAAAATCTTCAATTTTTTTTATTTCATCATTAATCAGTTTCACAAAACTCCATTCGCCTGATGTTGTCCTTGCATCAGGATCAATTTTTTGGGAGTTTCGTACTTTGTACGAACGATCCTTTTTTTTCTGTGGCTTCGTCACCGTCCTTGTACTTGGGTAAATCTCGTGCGCGAGCGCACGAGTAGAAATAGTTGGAGTTTCTTTAACTAATGCCAACAACCAGTGGCGTAGTGACGATGCTCCGGGCCCGTGTTCAAAAATTTTACCGGGCCCCTATACTCCTGCGAGATGAAATAATTGGAAAATCAAAGAGATATAATTTTTTTTTTTTTCAAATATACAGGGTGAACCTAAAGTATGGAACATATTCACTATAAAATAAATGAAGGCGTTTCGGAAAAACCGCTCGGACACGTCAATTTTGTTTTTTTGCTTGATATTGTTTCACACCATTTTTTTTTATACAGGTTGTTCCAAAATTAGCTGTACCATTATCAACTTTATTTTTTAAAATCGTACCTTCTGTATATCATGACATTTCCGGATTCTGAGGAAAATTCTAAACATAATGCATATTATACCAGAAATACCCTTAGTGCCGATTTCTCAATAGCAAGTCACCCCCGGGTTAGCTGGGTCACCCAGGGTAAACATTGCAACTTTACAGGCTTACCCTGGAGTTAAAACCAATCCGGAGGTGACTCGCTATTGAGAAACCGGCCCCTATGTTGAAACTTATAACTCACCTAATTTAGAGGGCATAGCACAACAAACCACAACGCAGGGATTGCAGGATCTTGAGTTAGCATACCTGGCAATCCTGGCATACTATGTAGTGATTCGGCTGTACTAATGAATTTTGAAGATATATGATAGGCGAAAAGCGGTAAAATCGAAAAGTTTTCATAAAAGAATAGAAGAAATCATTATAAGGGTCCATATCTCCTATACTAACGGAGATCGAAGAAAAAACTAAATACAAAACTTGTAGATAAACATGAGTACTACATTCCCAAATTATCTTCCAGCATTCAGGGTGGCCCAATAACTGGTAGTGACACAAAGTTAGGTTTTTTTAAATGACTCTCCCTGTATATTATGACATTTCTTGATGCGGAAAATTCTAGACATATTTCATGTACAATATCATATACCTATCTTCAACTGTTTCGGAAATATTGACAGTTGAAAATTGACTTTTTTGCATCTTTGGCAGACTGTAAAACCTGAACGGTTAATTTTACAAGAAAACGGATTTTACATTCCTATCTTAGTTTTTCATAAACTATCATTTGACACCGACCTTGAATTTAATCCATGATTAAAAATTCCGCCTAAATTATTAATCCTTGGTTAAATTCAAAGTTGGTGTCAAATGATAGCTTATCAAAATCTAAGATAGGAATGTGAAATTCGTTTTCCTCTAAAATTAACCGTTTAGGTTTTACAGTTTGTCAAAGATGCGAAAAAGTCAATTTTCAACTGTCAATATTTCCGAAACGGTTGAAGATAGGTATATGACATTGTACATGAAATATGTCTAGAATCTTCCGCAGAATCCAGAAATGTCATAATATACAGGGAGAGTCGTTTAAAAAAACATAACTTTGTGTCACTACTAGTTATTGGGCCACCCTGTATACTGGAAAATAATTTAGGAATGTAGTACTTATATTTACCTACAAGTTTTGTATTTAGTTTTTTTCTTCGATCTCCGTTAGTATAGGAGATATGGAAGACCGCGCGCTTAGTAACTCACCCTGTATAAGAATGAAAGAAATGAAGAATTTACCTACGTAGATATAGATATATTATTTTTTTCTACAAACGTCACTAAAAGTGCCATTTTTAACGAATGCTCTCAGTGTCTAAAATGCCATTTTATGACACTGGTGTTAAAAGTGATTACTTCTAGCACTGAGTGCTAAAAGTAATCACTTTTAGTGCGTTTGTAGAAGAAAAAGTGTATGATATTCGTGCTAAAAGTGATTTTATTTTGTCCAAACTTCCCTTTTCACAAAATAGAATGTCACTTTTAGCACTTATATATCATAAATAACTATTTTATTTTTATATAAATTAGCGTCAAATGTGTAAAATGTAATTTACTTAATGGGAGAAACATAATATCGACATCTAGAACCGGGCCTCTTGAGGTAAAGTCCGTTGCATGGTTCTTGACCTACGGCTACTGAATAGACAGAGGGGACAATGGGCTATTGCTGCGTTGTCAGTTGTCATATCGATAATTTTTATTAATACATGAAAATTGCAATAAAATTTCCTTCATTTTCATGTAATAATAAATTTTATTATTGATATGACAACGCAGCAATAGCGCCATTGTTCTTTCTGTCTATTCAGTAGTCGTAGCTCAAGAACCATGCAACGGACTATACCGGGCTCGTGTTCCGGGGAACACACGGAACACCGGTGACTACGCCCCTGCCAACAACCAACGACATTATTTATTCGGCTTCTTGATCCTCATTATTTTACTGGACGTCATTTCGGTTATGGTTTTGGGGAGAAACACAACCATATTTTTTAAAATTATCAACAACCCAAGAAACTTTTTACCTGGTTGTCACCAGGTTAGCGCTAAATTGATTTGTCATTTTCTGACATGCGGACGCCTGCAAATTGGTCAGGTTACTTCCTATATACCTAGTAGCTTGCCCCTCACTGTAAATACGTTTTGTAAAACTTGAAAACACATTGAGCATGAAGTTTTAATGTTGTCTTTGATTCATGTGTTGCAATATTTACAATACATTTCAATGATTGTTTTTCAGATATGTATACATCAAAAGTCCTCAAAGTAAGAGTATAAGGATAAAACTTGGCAACGCTGTAAAATGAATTATTCCAGGGTATCTGGGTTTTCCATTGGCCAAAAAGAAAGTTATCAAATGATAAAATATACTTAGTCTTTTTGCCCTTAACGAATTTGTAACTACAATTCTCCATTACAACAACATTCTCAGAAAATTTTAGATTCATATCTTAGATAGAGGTGGAGAGTGGAAATATGATTTTTCATAGTTTCCTTGGGACTCCTCAAACTCCATACTGCAAATAAAATAAGCAGCAAAAAAATTCAAGAATAATGAAATTTCCTACTCTAAACAAAGGACCCCGCAATATTTAAATGGAAATTGGTTACCCGTGATATTTAGATGAAATTTAAATATGTTATTGGGGATGCCGGATGCCGTAAGCAACATTTTTTACCATGGGCACAACCCTGTATATGTAACAGGTGAGGCGTGGTTAGCTGTCAAATATTGGAATCTGATATCCAAAAGCAGAGTAACTATGGCAGATTTTGATGAACAAAAAATCTATTTCTATTAAGTCGACCAAGTTAAGTCGAAAAATGTCAACCGTTTTAACACCTGTCAAAACCCTGCCAAACGGCAGCACTCATTTTTTCCAGTTTTCAATATTTTATGTTGTCATTTGACATTTTGAACTTATATGTAAATTCTGAATTCAAAAATTGAAGAAAAAAAATGACAGCTGTCAAAATGTGACGTGCATGAACTTTGTTCAATGTTTTATCACCAATAAACTACCTCAAAACGAGAAAGGACCAGATTAGA